GAACAGTTTTCAGCAGAGCTCTCAGACTGAGATAAACTCGGAGGAAAGGCCTAGAGTTCTGCTTAAGACAATTGGATGCAGTGGAAGCACCAAGAATCACAAGAGTCTGAGCCACAAATATCTATGGTGGTGACACAGAACCAAGTAGTGTCTTGTTATACTGTTCATGGGAAACCCCCAAAGCAGAGGTCTGTTTGACCGAACAATAACATGGGATTCCTGGTGGCATAGTGGGGTAGGCTTTGGGCTGCTAAATACAAAGTCAGTAGTTTGAAACCACCAACCACTCTGTAGGAGAAAGATGAGGCTTTCTACTCCTGTAAAGAGTGACAGTGTCAGAAACCCCCAAGGGGCAATTCTACCCTGTTTTATAGGATGGCTGTGAGTCACATGGGCTTGATGGTAGTGAGTTTTAAAATAATAACATAGTGGTTTGGCACTTTGTAAGTCATTCTGAAGTCCTAAAACAATCTAGTCAATTGTCTTGAGGAACAAGCTAGGTCATGAGGTGAATTGAACCATAGATGATGTAGCATAGAGTTAACATAATCCGACTGTGACTTGTGGGACTATCTTAAGGTTTACCAAAGTAATCTCTGAAGTGGCTTCACTAAAGAGCTTTGAAATCCTTTCCCTGAAATGAGGAAATGCCACAGATAAAAGTCAGCTCAGTTATGGGCAAGCAACACATATTAATCCTATGGTTTGTGAGCAATGACCTCACTATAACATCAAGCAATAATTCATCTTGGGGAATTAACTTTCAGCAGAAAGTAAAAACTGCATACGTTTTCAGTAAGCATCTGTTAAAAAGGAGAGAGTTAGGGGAATAAAAGGAAATGTTACAGAAGGAAAGAGAAGGCAGAGAAAGAATGGGAGGAGGAGAAAAAAAAGAAGTATGGTTTGAGATGAGAATTGTATGAGCCCCCAATAAAATAATTTTTTAAAAAAAGGTCAGAGGAAGGGAGCGGAGGAACTAGATGGAAGGTAAGAAGACACAGCATGAGACTATGTGGGTAAGTGTGTTAAAGACTGCAGTGATTGGTGTTAACACTTGGAGGAGTTCTTTTCTCACCATAAAGCACAGCCTTTGGACCAGTTTTATAATCACTACAGCATAGGGAGTGCCCCAAGGTTTCAGAGAAACGGGCATCAGAGGTTCTCAGCTTCCCAACGCTTCTGTACTGTAATTTTCAGTAGAATTCCTGCATTAAGCCAGTAGAGAGGTATTATTTGGGTCATTGTTTTTCTTAGGAACTGCTTTCCTTGACCATCTTCCTATGAAGCACAGTGGTACAGGAAGGTTTTCCTGCAAGTCGCTTTAAGCAGACGAGATTTTCAGAAGACTACTTGCTTTCAATCATGACACCACGTGGATTGTTAACTAACTCAAAATAAATTTAATTAAAAATGCTTGTCACTGTCCTAAAGTCATCTTTTAAGACAGATGAACATAGGATGGCTCTTGTAGCAGTGGTTTTGTTTTTTTAATTCCAAGAGAGAGAGACTAACTGAACTTTTCTAGGAAAGAGAATGTTTTTCATATTACTACGCAAGGGAAACTTTTTAAGGCACTGAAAAGCAAGGATGTTACATTGAGGACTAAGGCGTGCCTTACCCAAGCCATGGTCTTTTCCATCACATCAAATGCGTGCAAATGTTGGATTTGACGAGGAAGTCTGAAGAAGACTCAATGTGTTTGAATTCTTGGTGAAGAATATGGAAAGTACCAAGAACCGTCAAAAGAACAAACGAATTTGTCTTGGAAGAGGTACAGCCAGAATGTTCCTTGGAAAGGAGGTTGGCAAAGCATCATCTCAGGTACCTTGGACATGTGATCAGGAGAAACCAGTCTTTGGAAAGGGACACCATGCTTGGTAACATGGAGGGGCTTCCTCACCACTCTGTTCCTTCTCTGTCCATGTTGCTGTAGGGATTTGTCTGCCTGTTCATTTTCCTGAAACACTGTTGGTATACTGTGCATTTAGAAATCAGACACCTAACATAACCCTAAAGTCAACATCTAGAAGTTTCTTGTACTGAACTTCTCAGAGAACAAGCAAAGATTTTCAATTCTGTACGATGCATAGTAGCAACATAGAGTAGAAATCTATCTGAAAGGCAGGGGAATGCTTTCTTTGCTCTGTGGGCTCTAGAGCAGTGGTTCTCAACCTTCCTCATGCCGTGACGCTTTAATACAGTTCCTCATGTTGTGATGATTACCTCAACCATAAAAGATTTTCGTTGCTGCTTCATAACTGATTTTGCTACTGTTCTGAATCATATGACCCTTGTGGAAGGGTATTTGACCCCCAAAGTGCTCATGACCCACAGGTTGAGAACCGCTGCTCTGGACCATCCTCCGCTTCTGCCTGATCAAGACATCCCTCCCCCTCTATTTCTGCTTGCTTATTTAATCTCTTTATATTTTAAGAGACTTTGACTCAAGAGCCTTTTACGCTAGTCCTATTTTATGATCATCACAAAGGCAACACATCACCGGATGGGACATAACCATAACCAAATGCACTGCTATCGAGCCTACTTCAGCTCACAGCCGGCCCCATAGGACACAGTAGAACTGTCTCTGTGGGTTTCCAAGACTAACTCTCTACAGGAATAGAGACCCTCATCTTTCTCCTACACAGAAAACGGGTGGTTTCAAACTGCTTCCCAACATATAACCACTATGCCACTAGGACTCTTACTAAAAACCTAACCATAGAGGTTAGGATTTCCAACATATATATTGTAGAGGACACAACTCTATAATAGTTATTACCCCTTTCTTTTCTTTTATAGAGGAACAAACCTCTGGCATTCATTTAAATCACGCCGGACAGTTCCTGGGTTACTAATGTGTGACTTTCATTTGTCGACAGGAACTCAAACCCATAGTCTATTAAATTAAAATTTTGAGGTGCATATAGTGGTTCAAAAGAACAAATGGATGCTACTTTGTAACACACATCAAAACATCATCATTGTAATTGTTACTGTATTATTATAGCAAAGATATTTTCTTGTAGCCAGACATTTAGTTGCTGCTTTTTTATACCTGGAAAGATGACTGTATACTAGAACAAATATTTGATTAAGTGAAATTACATACACATCATATCTAAGTGTTCCAGCTTATGTAGAAATTCTAAGGAGGCCAGACTTAGGAGCAGAATTCATTGGTCATAGAGAGTATTGCTTGTATTAAGTAAACACTAGCAAGGAAGAAATCAGAGAAGGTGTGAGGAGGTCTGGAGGTGGTGCTATCCTGGTCTGCTCACTCCCTGTCCTGGAGACTCAGTAGCCCTCAGCCTGGCCCATGTCCACTGCGTCCACTATAGTAAAACCAAACTTCCTGCTTGCTGGTGATTGATGGTCACTCATAAGTCCCCTAAACATGAGAATGTGGAATCCTTGAATCCCAAAGGTATATGATATCCCAAATAAAATCAACACTACCCTGTAGAGATTATTAAATAATGTCCCAAATATGAGCTTATTTGGAACTAAATTGTGCTGAGTAGATTCCATTCATTAGCGGACAGGGTCTGGTTTAGGATCCCAGGGGAACTTCCGGTGAGGAAGCATTAAGGGTGTCTACCACAGAGGGCTTGGTTTGTTGTGGCAGGAGAAAGTATGCTCAGAAGACTCAGCATGGCAAAACGTCTCAACCAACAAGCATCTTGGGACATCACAGTGGAGTGTAGGAAGAGTACAGATGGTCAGAGTTACGAGACCGTTACAGGGCTCAGTGTTGGGGAAGGACCGTGGAGGTCCTTCAGAGGTGCAACTGGTTAGTGTGCTCTGCTCACTGGAAGGTTGGTGGCTCAAGTCTTCCCAGAGGAGCCTCAGAAGAAAGGCTTGACTATCTACTTCTGAAAAACAGGCCACCGAAAACCCTACGGAGCGCACTTCTGCTTTGATGCGCTTGTGATCCCCACAAGTCACAGTCAACTTGATAGCAACTGTCCAGGAGTTTGGGATCCCCTCCACCCCCACTGCACAAGCACACAAACTCCTAAACAGAACTTTGTTGTAAATAAATTGTACCCTGTAACGTGGTGGTTTATTATGTAAACTCCTAGATCTTGTGTAAAACCAACACAACGTGCCCCTGATTCTTCCAAATGAAGACTCTCCCACCTTCACAATGGAGTGACCTTTGCATGATTTCTGGGAAATATAGAAAGTAATGAAAAAGAACTGGTTTAAGAACTATGCAATTACATTTGCATACAATTGCATCAGGCCTAGCACATAGCCTTAGGCAGAGAAGTTTCTCGATGCCTTTCTTTCTCTTGCTCTGTTAGTACTGTATGTCCAAATCCAAACTCCAGGCTATTGAGTAGATTCTTTCTAGTGACCCTACAGGACAGGGTAGAACTGCCCCTGTGATATTCTGAGACTGT